ATTGCCATTCATGAAAATAATCAAACAAAAAATTTGCCCCACTAGACTTAAAAATACATTCTACCAAACATTGACAACAAATACCATGCATAAACTGTCCAATAAAGTGTGGGGACAAGGGTTCATTTCAGATTTCCTGCACAAAGCTTGTTGTTAGGATATGTGTCATATGTTCTGTAGACTATAAAAACTTGGGTTACATTAATCACCAAGCAAGCACATGTATACAATGAAGTCAAGATGGGCAAGTTTAAGGCTCCTCTCAGGCAACAAATGTTTATGAGCAACAGCTTCATATATGCAGGCAAGACAGTAACAAATCCGAGCACTTTACTTTAAGTTGTCGACTTCATCTCTGTGCATGGGATAAACACACGAGATGCCTCTAAGCAACTCAAGTGGCTCAAACTTGTGAATCCATCATATATGCAGGCAAAAAGTAAGCCTGTGGTAAAGATTTTTTTTAAGGCACAAAACGCAACAGGGTAGGTACAAATAAAGCTAGCTGAAGTATGGTTTAGCACTGCACTAAGTCTTTAGTCTTAGAATCTGTTATTTGTGAGCGATATCTCCTTTTCACCCAAGTGTGCTTTCAATTCATGTAAAAATGTGTTTGCGAGAATAAGTCCTCAGTGTCTCTTGACAAACGAGTTGGAAATATTGAGGTCTAACATGCATTCATTGCACTGTGAAAGAGGAAGGCACAAGAGAACAGAAATAAGATCTGCACTTCCTATAAGACATGTAACAAGACTGGGAAATCTGGTTCACTTCTGAACTGAAAATGAAACATCTATTAAACTATCTACTTAGAGTCAGGCACTGATTCACTGTCACTACTTCCTCTGGTCTTTACATTCACCTTATCCCCTGCTTTATCATTAGTTTTATAATTTGTCTTGTTTGGTGGTGCTTGAAAACTTGGTTTCCTTCTTTCTGAAGATGCAGACACTGTTAATGGGACTGGGACACTAGTGGGAGAGGAGGGAACAGACAATGGAGGCAAAGGAGGAACAGGGTTAGACCCTTGTAATGTTGGTAACTGTCGTAGAAGAGGTAATGGCCTTCCTTTTTCTGGCGTTGATTTGGCATGAACAAGAACTGATTCTTGCTCCTTGACAGGACTCAGCTTCTGTGGCAGCTCAGGACAGTGATTGCTTTTCTTGGGAGTCAGAGCTTGGCTGGGACTTTTCTTTTTAGTTGAATCTTTGTCGTGAAGCATGCGAGAGATGCGCTGTCGGAGTGCCGTGTCTGTGGGAGTGTGGGGACCTGAGGGAGTTGGTACAGCTAGTGTATGACTGAGGACAGGCCCACATGATGATACAGGAGTAGAAGTAGGAACATTGGTTTTTAACGGACTTCCAGGAGAGCCTCCTTGGCTCTGATCTTGGGAGTCTCGAATCTGTATAGCTTGCAAGAGTATCTTCATTTCTTCTGAAATCTGAGGCTGATCTTGAGAGTCGGAGGTTGACAGGACACCTTCCTGAGGTGCCACTCCAGAGGCCTCTATGACAACAAAGGATTCACCTTTCTCACCTGGATTGATAAGACTCGTACCAGACACTGCTATGTCACGAGGAAAGCGCAAAACTGGAGATAAGCCTTTGGAAGAGTCCATTACATATATAGGCTGTACTAATTCCTCTCCAGGACTACATAAGGGTGAACTGAGTGATGAAGGTACAGAAGGTGGATGTTGTACCAAGGTGGAGGTAAAAGAGGTTTGCACCAGTGTTGGTGTCAATGGAGATGCCAGGGATGAAGGAATCATCTGACGCATCACTCCACTGACATCTCCTGGTGACACAGATGACACAGAGGAGCCCTTTAGTAGAAGAGCCTTCAAGAGAGTCTCCTTCTGTGGTGACTGAAGAGCAGCCTCTGGAGTAATGATTGGCTGCAGAGGTGGGTCTTTGTTAGGAGTTGAATTACTGTCTAATTCTATAACATAAGGATCCACCGGGAATGCTTGTGACTCTGTATCATGTCCAGACTGTTGCAGAACTAGCTGGGGTACAGTTACTTTTCTCTCTGGATCTGAATTAGAACTGACATCTTTGTACAAAACTGTCAACTCATCTTTCTGTAAGAAATTAACAGTCTCCTTGGAGAGGAAAGGCATAATAGGAGGCTCAGCACCAAGAGGTTTGGGAAGAATAGGTTTGGGGTCTGTCTGGCTGAAGAGTTTCTTCATCTCCGGGCCGGCTGGGTGAGTGAGGCTACCGCTAACGCTGGTGGACACCAGGCTAGGGATATAGTCATGTTTGACAGGAAACTTGGCTACCCGACCCTTCCGATTTTTAACGTATGCCAGCTGTTCCTTGTGGATCTTGTTGAGATGCGTCCTCAGATTAGATCGCTGTGTGAAATCCTTTTGGCAAATTTGGCACTGATAGGGCTTCTCCCCCGTGTGGGTCCTTACATGATCCTTCAGATGGACGGAGAGTCTAAAGCCCTTCCCGCACCACCGGCACTTGTACTTCCTCTCCAAGTCCGCCAC